AAGTTTTGCTTCATTATTTGTTCAGATAGGTTTTCAATTTCCTGCTCTTCCTCTTCTCCTTCTGGCACCCCAATGATTCGAATGCTGGAATGTTTAAAGTTGTCCCAGAGGCTCCTAAGCCTCTCCTCATTTTTTAAAATTCTGATTTCTACATTCTGTTCTGATTGAATGTTTATTTCTTCCTTTTGCTCCAAACCATTGTTTTGGGTTCCAGTTTCTTTCCCTTCACTTTTGGTTCCCTGTATATTTTCCTTTATTTAACTTTTCATAGCCTTCACTTTTTCCTGTTTTGCAACCATACTCAACCATTTCTGTGAGCATCCTGATCACCAGTATTTTGAACTGTGCATCTGGTAGGTTGGCTATCTCTTCATCACTTAGTTTTATTTTTTCTGCAGCTTTGATCTGTTCTTTCATTTGGGCCATATTTCTTTGTCTTGGTGCTTCTGTTACGTAGTAAGGGGCAGAGACTTAGGTATTTGACAGGGAAGGGCAATCCATGTCACTGCATTGTCATGCTGTATGTGAGGGAGGGGTCCAATAGGAAACAATGCCACTGGCTCAGTTCTTGGCCATCTTTCAGTCACTAGCCCCACTACCCACAAGCAAATTGAGCTGGTGCTGATTCCAGGTGGGTGGGTTTGTGTATGTTCTAGGACCCTTTGGGTCTCTGCAACAAACTCTCCTGTGAGGCTGGAAGCTTCTTCTGCTGCCTTAAAAAACCCACAGGTTTTTCTAGTCAGAGGTTTTGAGGCTTTCTTTTCCCGTGCTGGAACTCTTGAGTTTTGCAGTTCTGTCTTGCTCCCCAGTTATTCCTGCCAGTTTACCCACATGCAAATGTGGAACAACGCACTCCACCAGCCACTGCCTTGCCCAGTCTACCAGCTGCAGCCTTGCTGAGAGTCCTCTCCAACCTGGCTGCCTGTCTCTTCCCCTCCTACTGGGTCTGGAGGAATGTTTCTTTTTTAACTCCTTGGTTGTTAGGCTTTCATACAGTTCGATTTTCTGGCAGTTCTGGTTATTTTTGTTTTTTAATTTGTTGTCATCCTTCTTTTGGTTGAGCGAGAAGGTAAAGTGTACCACCTAAGCCTCCGTCTTGGCCAGAAATCCAAATCTAACTCATTCTTAACCTCTGCATAGTAATCCCTTTTATAGCAGTTATTATTATGCATTTAACCAATCCCCCTACTAATGGACATTTGTTTCCAGGCTTTTATTACAAATAATACTAATGCAACAAATCAAGTTGCACATAACTTTGTGTACTTTTGCTAAAAGTACAATCGCTAGGTAATAGGCATATGCATTTTTAATTTTTAGAGATATTGCCAACCTGCTCTCCACAGAGGCTTTATCAATTTACATCCCCCCATTCAATGTAAACAAAAGGGCCTGTTTCTACACCAGCCTGACAGCAGTGTTTATCATCAAAAATAGGGTACAGCTTCTACCTATAGCCAGAACTTTCAGACATTACTAGTAGACTTTTCAATACACCTATGTTAAGTTTCTAGAGTTAAGATAGTGTTAGGCTGTGGAATGAGTTCCTTAAAAGGATGGTCGATCTAGTTTTGACTTTCCCACTGACTAAAACTAAGAGTGGGACCTTGGCTAAATCACTTAATCTCTCTGGGTCTTGCAGTTCTTGGTCAAAACTGATTAGAATTACATGGTGTCAAGAGAAGTGGGATCCAGAGTGACTGCTTCCTCCTCAGGCAACTGAGTAATATACCTACAAAGTCATTGCTCTTTATTGCCGTCCTAGTAGTCCTGGATGATTGTGGGAAGTCCTCCTGGATCCTAACCTCCTACCTTGGTTGAGGTTCGGACTCTATGTGTCCTCTGTTGCCAGCATTTTGTCTATAGGACTTAAAAATGTCCATTTAGTGAGCTGTTATGCTTTTGAAAAATAGGAAGTTCACTTTCTAAGGGAATAATTGCTGAACAATCACCTTCTGGAATTTCTGATGATTTGCATACAAAAATAATGGGCCCTCATCCAGAAACTTTCTATCTCATTGGACCATAATTACCCAGCATGGTTTACAATTAAACTAGCCAAACTGGAGCTCTTCTGAAATCCCCAGGCTAGTCTATCTGGACAGTCAACAGGAAAAAGACTATAAACTAAGCAACATGAATGGGAAGTACATGATAATCAGCATTTCTGAAGCTTCCAAACATATATCAAGGGTCCCTAACCTTTTTGGCACCAGGGACCTGTTTTGTGGAAGATAAGTTTTCCACGGACTGGGGGTGGGGTGATGGTCTGGGGGTGGGGTGACGGTCTGGGGATGATTCAAGTGCATTACATTCAAGCTTACTTCCTGCTGTGCAGCCCAGTTCCTAACAGGCCACAGACTGATATTGGTCCATGGCCCAAGGGGTTGGGGACCCCTGATATAAGTGATTCAAAAATTGCTTCCTGCCCTTGCTTGTGTGGCTCAGTGGATTGAGCCCTGGCCTGCAAACTGAAGGGTCACTGGTTCAATTCCCAGTCAGGGCACACGCCTCAGTTGTGGGCCAGGTACCCAGATGGCAGCGTGTAAAAGGCAACCAATTTGTTTCTTTTACATGCTGATATTTCTCTCTCTCCCTTCCTTCCCTTCTAAGACCAAATAGAACTTTTAAAAATGCTTCCCTCTAAGACACAAATTCAAAATTAACCAAAGCAAAGTGAGTTGTCTCAGAGGCTTCCTAAACTTGAGGAAACTTCTAAATGTTCCTCTGACATCTCATTATCTGCACCTTTGGCTCCTTTGCTGCTTTCCTGTCCTCCCTCCTTTACCCTTCACTGGGTGAATTTCATTTCTTTTTTTAATCCTCACCCAAGGACATTTTTCATTACCTTTAGAGAGTGGAAGGGGGAGAGAGAGAGAAACATCAATGTGAAAGAGAAACATCAATTGGTTGCCTTCTCATATATACCCCAAAAGGGGACTGAACTCACAACCTTTTGGTATACAGGATGGCTCTCCAACCAACTGAGCCATGTCAGCCAAGGCATTAACTCTCTTTTCACAACAATGACCCTAAGTCTCTATTAAAATCACCCCACTCTTACTGTTCCATTTAAAGGTAAACCATCAGATGAGTCTGATCCAGAATGACAACCCCTATTTTTTATATCCCCATGGACTAAAAGTGAACTCCACGCCATTACTAAAGAAATCCCTAATCCCAAAGAGGACCCCACTGCGTTTGCTAGAGAATTTCTGTTCACTATCCAAACATGAGCCAAGATTCTCTGACCTCCATAAGCTGATCCATGGGCTCAGAGAGACAAATACCCCAATTACCAATTGCCTTTTTTCCTCTTGAGTCCATGAAAGAGAAGGAAATGCCTTAGCTGTCTTGACCCAACGAGATGGAAACCGACATGGACTCATTGGATACCACACTTAGACCTGATGGCCAAAGGTCTCCAACTCTGTATGAGAGATATTGTGGCCACTGCCAATTTATTTTTTTTCCTTTTTTTAAAAAAATTTTTTTAAAAATATATTTTATTAATTATGCCATCACAATTGTTCTATTTCCCCCCTTCATTCCCCTCCACCCTGCACACCCCTCCCCCACCATTCCCCCCCTTTAGTTTATAACCACGTGTCTCAAGTTTTTTAGATTCTGTATTTCCCATACTATTCTTGCCCTCCCCCCTATCTATTTTCTACCTACCATCTATGCTACTTATTTTCCGTACCTGCTCCCCCCTTCTCCTTCTCCCACTCCCCTGTTGCTAACCCTCCATGTGATCTCCATTTCTGTGGTTCTGCTCCTGATCTAGCTGTCCTCTTAGTTTGCTTTTGTTTTAGGTGTGGTTGTTACTAACTGTGAGTTTGCTGTCCTTTCACTGTTCATCTTTTTTATCTTCTTTTTCTTAGATAAGTCCCTTTAACATTTCATATAATAAGGGCTTGGTGATGATGAACTCCTTGAATTTGATCTTATCTGAGAAGCACTGTATCTGTCCTTCCATTCTAAATGAAAGCTTTGCTGGATAGATCAATCTTGGATTTAGGTCTTTGGATTTCATGACTTGGAATACTTCTTTGCAGCCCCTTCTTGCCTGTAAGGTCTCTTTTGAGAAATCAGCTGACAGTCTGATGGGAACTCCTTTGTAGGTGACTGTCCCCTTATCTCTTGCTGCTTCTAGGATTCTCTCCTTCATTTTAATCTTGGCTCAATAATGATGATGTGCCTTGTTGTGTTCCTTCTTGGGTCCAACTTCTTTGGGACTCCCTGAGCTTCCTGGATTTCCTGGAAGTCTACTTCCTTTGCCAGATTGGGGAAGTTCTCCTTTATTATTTGTTCAAATAAGTTTTCCACTCATGGTTGTTCCTCTTCCCCTTCTGGTACCCCTATAATTCGGATGCTGGAACGTTTAAAGATGTCCTGAAGGTTCCTAAGCCTCTTCTCATTTTTTTGATTTCTTGTTTCTTCATCCTTTTCTGTTTGGTCATTTTTTCCTCCTTCCGGTCCAGTCCTTTGATTTGAGTCCCAGTTTCCTTTCTATTACTTCCCTTCATTTCAATTAGTTTAGCCTTCATATGTTCCTCTAATTTGTGACTAAAATCAACCAGTTCTGTGAGCATCCTGATCACCAGTGTTTTGAACTGTGCATCTGAAAGTTTGGCTACTTCTCGGTCGCTTAGATATATCAGCTCTGGGGCTCCGAGTTGTTCTTGAGCCATGTTTTGATCTGTTCGTGCCTGTTACATATGAGGAGCGGAGCCTTCGACATTCACCAGGGCAGGGCCACCCAGGTCACTGGTTTGTGATGCTGTATGTGGGGGTGGGGTCAGAGAGGGACAACGGTGGTTCCCTTTGCAGCTTCCTGCTGCTGGGGCCTGCTCGGTCTGTCTCACTGCTAGGTCCTTCACAGGTTTATCTGCTCGCGAATGTGTGACCGCGATCAGCCCTCAGTGGGTCCACTGCCTTGCGCCCTCAGTGGGTCTGCCCACTTCTCCACACCTAGGATCTGCCCACGGCTGCCGGTGCGCCTGGGTCGCACGCCCGGGTTGGTCTGGTGGATCTTTCCTGCCCGACCCGGCTCTGCTGCTGGCTCTGCCCCTCTTACCAGTTTGGCTGAAGGGTTCCTTGTTGTCAGACTTCCGTGTAGTTTAATTTTCTGTGGTTTGGCTGTGTTTTTGTCGCTAAAACTTTATTGTTTTTAAACTTAGTTGTGCGAGAAGGCGCAGTGCTTCCACCTACGCCTCCATCTTAATGGAAGTCCGCTAATTTACTTTAATAGGTAGAAAGGAATATAATAATGGGCTCTCCAATAACTCTTATATGCCTCATGGGAACTATCTGCTAAAAGACTAACCCCCCTACAAAATTCTTTATTGTCTTCATGTAATATGACTATTGCTCACTGTAATACTCTGAGCCCTGCTACTCTCTTCCCTCTGAGGAAATCCCTCATGACTGCCTGACATGAACAGACTGAATACTAACTCCCTGAACTGATTTACAGGAAACACCTCTTTAAAATGTTGATTAGTTTGCTTTACTGATGATTCTTACGTAAGAGATAAAATAGGCCCTGGCCAGGTAGCTCATTTGGTTAGCGTCATCCTGATCCTCAAACGTTGCAAGTTCAATCCCAGTCAGAAGACATATAAGAAACCACCAATGCGTGAGTAAATAAGTGGGACAAACCACTGTTTCTCTCTGTCTCCCTTCCTCTCTCTCTAAAATAAACTTTTTTTCACTTCATGAATTAATGAATGTATTTTATTAATCAGACAGCTATCAGCTCACTCAGCCCAGGGAAATAATTGCTGCCTAGAGCTTTCTGGAAGCCAGGGCCCTGCTCACTGGGCCCTCTTCAGGAATCTGGGTCTACAGGGCCTCAGTTGAGTCCCTTCTACTGGAAGTACGAGTGACAAGCAGACGTGATGCCAGCCACAAACACTATGAACTTGCTGAAGTCTACTGTGGTATCTCCATTGGCATCTAGGTCCTTGAGCAGTTTGTCCATGGCCTCCTTGTCCCTTCTACTCTGCAGGAAGCCCGGCAGCTTCTTCTCCAGGAGCACCCTCATCTCCCACTTGTTCAGGCTCTGCACGGTGCCATCTGTGCCCACGTATGGGGCAAAGGCCTTGATGATCAAGGCCATAGCCATCTCCAGTTTCAACATAGTGCTGGCTGTGGGTTCATGTCCTTTGGGGTGGCTGGTATGACTGAGAAAATGACCTAAATTTTTTTTAAAGGATGAAATAGGCCACTATCAAGCATGCGTGAGTGGCCTATATTGCATTTACTCATACAATCATCTCTCTAAATAAAACCACTAAAGACAGTCCTCAGGCAACTTCTGCTCTATGCTTGCAATCCCGCCAAAGACACCTAACATTTATTCTGACAATAGGTATATCTTTGGTGGTGCCCGTGACTCTGGTATGCTCTGGAAACAGAGAGGATTCCTGAGATCTTCCAGACAAAAGATAAAAATTAGTTCTTATGTTTTAGAACTCATAGAGGCTATCCAATTACTTAAATCTTTAGCAATCATAAAAATCCCTGGACATCCAATGGCAAACACTGAGGAAAGTAGAGGTAATCATTTGGCTGCTGCTGCTGCTAAGTTAGAAGCATTAAAACAATCTCAGCCCCCAATAGAAGCACCTACACCACCAGCTAAAGTAACTAGAGATTTAAAAGAAGATATTATGGAAGCACAGCATTTAGCTGATTGACAACATAGAAAGAAATGGTTACAAGGCTGTAAATTTGACCCTAAAAGAAACTTATCACTATGTCAAAAATGTTTGACCACTCCTCCCTGACTGCATTCAAAAACACACATTATAACATGCACATGACTTAACTCGTTCCAGCACTTACAAAATGGCTTTATGGCAAAAAAAAAAAAAAATACTACTGGAAGCCATTCCCAAAGACAACTTTGCTGGTACACCATTAATGCCATATCTAGCCTAAGCACTACCCTGGAAAGCTCTTTCATACCTGTATGGGGCATCTGCCCTTGCCTTGGGGTCCCTTTGAAGTCTGCCCCCTTCTCAAGGATACAAATGTGTTAGAATGATTTGTATGTTTTCTCACTGGGTGGAAACATTCCCAGTCATCAGAGCCATAGCCTCAACAATAAATAAAAGACTCCCAGAGAAGAGCTTTCCCCAGAAGAAAGAACTTTCCCCAGAAAGAGAAGAGTTCTTCTTCTCTTTCCCTTAGAAGAGAAGAACGACTTGGGGAGTCCCCACAGAGCTCCACTTCACAGGACAAATTACACAGTCCATTTATAAGACCTGGTTGACTTAGTATTTCCATTGTGTTTATCACCCCCAGTCCTCTGGTCTTGTAGAAGCGACTAACTGGTTAATCAAAACTCAAAACTCAGTTGGCAAAACTTGTAGAGTCTTTTAACCTGCCTTGACCTACAGCTCTTCCCTTGGTATTACTCAACCTGAAATTACTCTACTTCCTTTGCCAAAAACAGGCTGTCTCCTTTTGAAATTATTACTGACAGACCCATGAGATTAAATCAAGGAATGTATGAACCTGCACTGCTTAAAGGAGACCTGATTTACTCTAAAGAAATAGTAACCCATTATCTAGAGATGTTACAATGAATAAATCCAACTGAGAAACCCTATACAGAGAACTACTGATCCAAGGAATATGTGACTTAATTCTGCTCCCAGCAAGCCTCCTTATTGCTAAAATATGGCCATAGCTCTCTTACTGCACACTCAGATTTATTTCCCTCCTACATGGGACATGACATACCAGACAAGAGCCTCCCAGTGATGAGGGATCACTGCTGCTTTTTCAAAGATGGACCAATGCTATTTCCTAATGATTGACTACTGATGCTTCCTAAGAAAACACCTTGATCAAAAGGGGGAAAAGTGAAAGAAAACCTACAAAATGGAGTTTCTGTATTAATACAGGAAGATCTGGCCAAATTGCTGGGGAGAGGACAGAGGTCCCAAGGCAGCACAGGAGAGACTGCACTCCCCAGAGTGAGGGAGGGGTTGCAGGAAATGCCGGGCAGTGTGGCACTGCACAACGTGTGACAACAGATTCCCTGCCCTGGGCAGAGATGCAGCAGGAAGAAGCCTTGCATGGAGTCTGTGCAAGGATGGAGAGGGTGACTGACAGAGGGAAAAGTCCTCTTATTACCTACCATAACATGGTGGCAGGGGAGGTGCTGGCCTGCCAATGTAGACTGGGAAAAGGATGAGATGTGCCAAGGAGCATGGAATGTGTGACCCTTCCAGAGACACAGAATTTTGGGCCAGGAGATTTAAACAAAAAGTAGGGAGAAACATGCAGTTCTTCCCCTTCACTGGCCCTGTTGGGGGACAGGAGCACTCATGGACCAGCAGGTACTGGAAGCCATGTGGCTAGGTGGCAGGCCCCTAACCCCTGCCTTGAGAAGTGGTGGCAGGCGCAGGCAACTAGTGCCATGTGATCCTGCTCAGCCTGGCACAGGGATGCACCAGCAAGCCAACAGCTGGAGGGATGGCGTGCAGGTGCTAAGTTAGTGGGCAGTGAGCAGAAGAAGGTAGAATGCATACAGACTCCAAACTGAGGCCCAACAGTGATGGGGAGAGAAATGGAGCACCTTCAAGGCCAACTCAGTGAATGCCTGCAGTTTACCAAAAAAGTGTATTTTTAAATAGGAAAAGAAACTCTGGGTTGCAGCCTTGGATTGGTCTGGCAGAGGGTGGAAGGGTTATTTTTCTCTGACTGTTCTGAAGAGGAGGGGCTCTGAGGCAGAAGCATGCCATTCGTCCAAAACTGTGTAGCTTTTGAATAAATGACCTCTTTCCTTTTTTACCAAACTTCTGTCTCCAGAGCTTGCCTATGGGCACTGGGAAGTAGAACACCATTTCTGTTCGGTGACAATATTTCAAGAGAACAATCTAAAACAGAGCCTGGAAGCACCTGCGAAGCTGAGCTAACTCACCTTCCTCATGTGAAAAATGAATTTAAACTGGGCTAAACCAAATGACTCCATAACAATGCAGTTCCTGGGACTGGCTCTGCATCACTGAACTCTCTATTAAAAAATAAATTCTCCCCTGGCAATAGACGTTAAGTAATTAATTATGTATAGCATAGTGTAAGTGTGCTTGCCAGCACCAATCACAGCTTTCAGAATAATTGATGTAATCCCTTTGAAAGCCACACCTTTTCTGTCTTTATAAACTCATCACTTTTACTTTTAAGATTTTACTTATTTATTTTTAGAGAGAAGGGGAGGGAAGGAGAAAGAGAGGGAGAAAAACACATATCAGTTCCCTCTCACATGCCCCAACTGGGAAGCTGGCTTACAACCCAGGCAGGTGCCCTGACCAGGAACTGAACCAATGACCTTTGCGGGACGATGCCCAACCAAATGAGCCATGCTGGGCAGGGCTCTTGTTGCTTTCTTTCTCTCTCAGACTACAGTTGGGTATCTCCCCAAATCTGTAACTCCTGGATTTGCAGATCACATTTTCATTTCATTCCATTCCCTTCTTTTCCTGCCTACCTCCGTCCATCTCTGTCTATCTCTTTGCTATGCTCTTTTTTTTCCTGTTTTCCCTCTTGTTCCTTCTCATTTTCTCTCCCTTCTATCCATCTGACTTAGGAGTTTTCAGCTATAGCCAGTAGCAATCACAAACTTAAGTTTATCCCCTGAGGGACCTTCCAGCTAACCTCAAGAATAACAATGCAAGTAAACTGAAAAGGCAGCCAAAACTCAAATTCAGGGACTGAGTGGGAAGACATACTTTGTTACGACACCCAATAAAACAAAAAGAAAATCCATTCTTTCGCCAACAAACTAAATTGCTCTATAAATTGTCCTAAAACCCAGGGATTGTAATGCCAAAACAATAATGTAACTATTTAAACATGTAATTTAGTTTTAACTTTAACCTGATTAAGTCTGAATGCAAATCATTTTTCTAAACAAAGGCAGTACAGGGGAAGATTCTTACCTAGTGGAAGATGTTCACTCAAACAGAACAAAGATGTTCCTTCTCTTCAAGGCAATATGATTTACATCAAAGCTATTTTCCACTATTTTCAAAAGCAAAAACAATACTTTAAAAAGACAAAAGTTCCCACAAGTCTATTTGATGAATGTTTACCTCTGGGACTTAAACTATGTAGTTTATTTGAGAACTAAAAAAAATAATTTGGAACAGTGTTTTATAGTTTTCAGTTACATGTGTACAAATAGTCATTCTTTTGTTTTTACTAGCGTCTATAGCAGATTCAGGAGAAGGAAAACAAAAACTAGGTACAGAAGTATACATTCAACTTTCCTTAACCCCTACAGACAAAAAAAAAAAAAAAAGCAAACATACTTAAGACTTCTTCTTCAAATTATTCTCAAAACAAGTGGTAAAAAACAGAGGACAGTAAACCTTAGGTTATATTTAGGCAGATTTCCTTCCTCCATTTGTAAATATTTACTTTTCCTTTTGAAAGAATATTTAGAGTGGAAGACACAAGGTTTGACCACAAAAATTCTTTCTACATACATAACTATTTGCTAATGAGGAAAAAAGGCCTGCCAGTTTGTTCATGGTAATTAGCCATCACAGAACCCAAATAAGAAAAAGCAGGCTTATAATATACTCAAATATGCTTTTCAGTTCCTTCTCTTCTGTCCACTTGAATAAACAAGAGGCAGATTTGCAGATCTGTAAATTTTTCTGAAAGCTCACATGCAGAATATAAAAATAATACAAACATGCACATTTTATAAACTTTGAATATCTACTATGAAAAAGGAAGCAAGACTCTAGAACTAAGAAATTTAATGTCATTGGACTTCCAGTTAAGAGGGCAGCGTGGACAGACATGACTTACCTCCTCACACAGCCACATCAAAATTACCACTAAAATACAGAACAACCATCACTCAGAACCGTCAGAAATTGAGTTGAATGGAAGTCTGACAACTACGAGTTAAAGACACCACATCCATCCAGACTGGTAGAAGGGGCACAGACGCAGAATGGGCTGGTTCCACACCCATGTGTGGTGGACAAAAATTCAGTAGGGATAGCAAGGAGTTCCAGTCTCACACCAGGCTTCCCAGCCCAGGATCCCCATATCTTCTGGCAGCAAAACCCAGCAGGGATTGAGTCAGTGGAAGAAATTTCAGGAGCCCCAAAGAGTTCCTTTTAAAGATCCCACACACAGACTCACCTGCTCAGACTCACTCCCTCTGAGCTCCAGCACCAGTGGCATACTGGGAGAAACTGAAGTGCCTGGCAT